GCCTCTCAATGTTGTGGCCTCTCCCGTTGCGGAGCACAGGCTCTGGACGCGCAGGCTCAGCGGCCATGGCTCACGGGCCTAGCCGCTCCGCGGCACGTGGGATCTTCCCGGACCGGGGCACGAATCCGTGTCCCCTGCATCGGTAGGCGGACTCTCAACCACTGCGCCACCAGGGAAGCCCTATCATACATTTTTAATACAACTGGATCAATTGGATTGAATTGGATTTTTTGTCATTGTCTGAATTTCATCCTGGGATCCCTCAGGATCAACTTCCTAATTTATTTTTTTTATGAGTAAACATTAAGGTTCACTATTTGTGCTGTTATGTTCTATGGATTTGGACAAATGCATAGTGTTATATATCCACTACCACAGTAACATACAGAATAGTTTCACCACTCTAAAAAATTCCCTGTGCTTCACATGTTCAACTCTTCCAAATCCCTAAACCTCTGGCAATCAGTGAACTGTTTAATGTCTTAATAGTTTGCCTTTTTCAGAATGTCATATAAAATGTATGTATGTAGCCTTTTCAGACTAGTACCCTTATAAGAAGACAGGAGAGCTTGCTTAAGCTCTTTCTTCTTTCTGCCATGTGAAGATGAAACAAGAAGATAACCATCTGCAAACCAGGAAGCAAGCCCTCACTAGACACTAAATCTGCCTATGCCTTGATCTTGATCTGCTGGCTAGCCTCCAGAACTGTGAGAAATAAGTGTTTGTTGCTTTAGCCACCCAGTCCATCCTAATTTGGTTTTGGTTTTTGTTTATTATTTTATACGGAGCAGCTGTTTTATTTATTTATTTTAAGAATTTTTTTAAAAATTAATTAATTAATTTATTTTTGGATGCATTGAGTCTTCATTGCTGTGCATGGGCTTTCTCCAGTTGCGGCGAGCAGGGGCTACTTTTCGTTGTGGTGCGTGGGCTTCTCATTGCGGTGGCTTCTCTTGTTGCAGAGCACGGGCTCTAGGCACGTGGGCTTCAGTAGTTGTGGCACACAGGCTCAGTAGTTGTGGCTCATGGGCTCTAGAGTGCAGGCTCAGTAGTTGTGGCGCACGGGCTTAGTTGCTCCACGTCATGTGGGATCTTCCCGGACCAGGGCTCGAACCCTGTCCTCTGCATTGGCAGGCGGATTCTTAACCACTGTGCCACCAGGGAAGCGCCTTATTTTAAAAAAATATATTTAATTAATTTATTTATTTGGCTGCACCAGGTCTTAGTTGCGGCATGCGATATCTTCGTTGCCACGTGCGGGATCTTCATTGTGGCATGTGGGATGTTTAGTTGTGGCATGAGAACTCTTAGTTGTGGCATGTGGGATCTAGTTCCCTGACCAGGGATTGAACCCGGGTCCCCTGCATTGTGAGCGTGGAGTCTTAGCCACTGGGCACCAGGGAAGTCCCTATCCTAATTTGTTATAGCAGCCCAAACTAAGATAGTGGTGATATCTCGTTGTTTTAATTTGCAATTCCCTAATGACAAATGATGTTGAGAATATTTTCATATGCTTATTTGCCACCTGTATATCTTCTTTGGTGAGGTATATGCTCAAAACTTTTGCACATTTTTCAAATGGGTTATTTTCTTATTGTTGAGTTTTAAGATTTTAAAAATATATTCTGGATACAAACCTTTTATTAGATATGTATTTGCAAATATTTTCTTTCAGTCTATGGCTTGTCTTTTCATTCTCTTAGTGTCTTTCACACAACAAATGTTTTTGATTTTTAATAAGGTCTAACTTATTGATCTTTTCTTTCATGGCTCATGCTTTTGTTGTTGTACCTAAAAATTCATCAACCATCCCAAGGTCACACAGATTTTCTCTTAGTTTTTTTCTAAAAGCTTTATAGTTTTGTGTTATATATTTAGGGCTATGATCCATTTTGAGTATCAAGGTTTTGTGTTATTTTGCTTTTTTTTCTTTTTGCATATGGGCATCCAGTTGTTTTGCACCATTTGTTGAAAAGATTATCCTTTCTCCATTGAATTTCCTTTGCTCCTTTGTCAAAGATTAGTTGACTATATTTGTGTGGATCTATTGCTGGGCTCTCTGTTTCATACCACTGATATTTTATCTATTCTTTTACTGATACCATGCTGTTTTAATTGCTGTTACATTATAGAAAATCTTGAAATCAGTAATATGAGCTCTCCAAACATTATCTTTTTATATAACTCCATACTTTTGGTTGGAACATATATATTTCTTGAAAAAAATCATACTTGTGCTTTAAGATTCAGTTCAAACATAAGGTCTAGAAACCATTTACCCATCATTTGAATTCTCATTGCATCCTGTGAATTCAAATGATGGGTAACTGGTTTCTAGACCTTATGTTTATAATCTCCTTCTATAATTTTTATGCCCAGAATCTACCAGTGTTACCAAGCTCGATAGTCAAGAAATATCTACTGTTCTCAATGGAACAAACTGATATCTGAATTGTGTATGTAAACATTCTCACCCAATAATTGGCTATACTATATACTCAAATCTTAAAAGGAGACTTTTATACCCTAGTGTCTCCATGTGTTCATTTTTCATATGTTTAAGCACTTGATATTTGCCAGGAACTAGGTGAGATGCTGCTGATGAAATGGTGAATAAGAGTCCTGATCAAGCCAGTCTTGTCAGATTAATTTTGTACTTAACATATTGTGTTAAAATGGTCAGTTTTCAGGGACTTCCCTAGTGGTCCAGTGGTTAAGAATCTGCCTTCCAATGCAGGGTATGTGGGTTCGATCCCTGATCAGGGAACTAAGATCCCACATGCTGCAGGGCAACTAAGCCCACGCGCCACAACTACAGAACCCATGCACTCTAGAGCCTGTGTGCCACAACTAGAAAGAAGCCCACACACCACAACGAAGAGCCCTCGTGCCACAATGGAAGATCCTGCATGCCACAACTAAAACCTGATGCAGGCAAAAATAAAAATAAATAAATAAATATAAAATGGTAATTTTTTAGTTCTTGGTTGTGAGCTCATTGAGGGTAGAAACTGGGCTTTTGTGTGTGATTTTACTTATTAATTAATTAATGTATCTGATGCATAATAATGCCTGGTTGGGATCTCCCTGGCAGTCCAGTGGTTAAGACTCTGCTTCCAATGCAAGGGGCATGGGTTCGATCCCTGGTTTAGGAACTAAGATCCCACATGCTGCGCCACACAGCATGGCCAAAAAAAAAAAAGCCTGGTCTATGTGTATGATAAGTATTTGGTGAATAAATTATGAAGGACTTTCTTTCAGTTAAATGTGAGTAAGAGAAAGTATTAACATTTTAAAAATAACACCTAAACACAGGGTGGTATAGACAATGGAATAACATCTTTAAAGTATTAAAGAAAAAAATGTGAATTCAGAATTCTATCCCCAGAGAAAAATATCCTTTTAAAATGAAGATGAAATGAAGATATTTTCAGATAAATGAAGATTTATATCATAACCGGTAGAACTGTAGTATAGAAAACAGTAGAGGGAGTTCTTCAGGTTGAAGGGAATTGACATTGGATTATACAGGAAGGAAAGACCAACAGGTAGGAAAGAAGAGTATCAGAAATGGAAAATATGTGGGTAGCTATAAAATTTGTTTTCTTTCCTAAATGTTATTAAAATATATGACTGTTTAAAGCAAAATAATGTAACATGGTATGGTGGATTTTATAAGGTATGTAGTTGAAATGACAACAGTAGGACAAAGAATAAAAAGTTCAGGGACTTCCCTGGTGATCCAGTGGTTGAGACTCCATGCTTCCCCTATGGGGTGTGGGTTCGATCCCTGGTTGGGGAACTAAGATCGTCATGCCCCATAGTGTGGCCAAAAAAAAAAAAAAGAATGAGGAGTGCAAATGAAATGATATTGTTACAGGTTCTTATATTTTACATGAAGTGGTATGATATTAATTCTAGTGTAAACTATATTAAAGATGCATATTTAATCCCTGGAGCAACCTCTAACAAGATGCATAGAGGTATAGCTGAAGAGCCAACAGAATTCAAATATACCAGAAAAAATTAATCAACCCCCCCAAAAAAAGCAGGAAAGGAGAAATAGTTAATTTTTTAAAATGTGGCAAATAGAAATCAACAAAACAGTAAACATAAATCCAAACAAATTAATAATTACATCAATATAAATTGATTACATATTTCAGTGAAAAGCCCCAAGACTGCCACACTGGAGAAAAAATGTGAAACCCAAACTACATGCTATCTGCCAGAAATGTATATTAAATGTAATCACAGATAGGTTCAAGGGAAAAAGGTAGAACAAGATATACTTGTGCACACAGTAAGCACAAGCAAACTAGAGTGACTCTACTAATATTAGATAAAACAGATGTCAAGACAAGAGACAGAGGCACAGGGATATCGGCTCGGTGCTTTGTGACCGCCTGGAGGGGTGGGATAGGGAGGGTGGGAGGGAGGGAGACGCAAGAGGGAAGAGATATGGGAACATATGTATATGTATAACTGATTCACTTTGTTATAAAGCAGAAACTAACACCATTGTAAAGCAATTATACCCCAATAAAGATGTTAAAAAAAAAAAAAAAGACAAGAGACAGAGAAATGTTTCATAATAGAAGGGTCAATTCATTGGGAAGAAACAATCATAAATGTGCGTATGCTATAATAACAGCTTCAAAATACATGATGCAAAAACTGAATGAACTAAAGGTAGAAATAGACAAATCCACAATCGCAGTTTTCGTGTATCTCCTACTTCATACATATTCTGCTGTTCGAAAAATGAGATTTAAGATTAGCCTAGATATTTTCAGATAATTTCTAAAGTTTTTTGAGAGGAGAAAAATCCTTCCATCTATGAACAAATACATAAAATCCAAGTCCGGAGGTCCACAGCCCGCTCCCGCTCCAATCGCTCGCGCCTGCGCTTGCGCATTCCTCTCAGCCCGTTGGGGCGAGGACCAGGCCCTCCCTACCGGGACTACATTTCCCACAAGCCTCTGCACCTAGTTTCCTTCCGGCTTCCTTGCTGGTGTCGGCTCGGAGAGGTGAGTTGGTCTTGTGCATTGAGGAAATGGGCGCGGGGGCGGCGCGGGGGCGGCGCGGGCCTCTGTGTGCACTGGGCTGAAGTGACTGTGTAGTTTGTGACGCTGACTGGACAGTGGGCACCCTGGTGCGTCTTCTGTCCTCCTGCTTCAGGGCCGCACAGATGCAGCGGCCCAGAATGGCTCCGAGTTAGATTTATGAACCTCACAGTGAAGGCCCCTAACAAAAAGACGCAGAACAACAGCTCTCAGAACCACAGCTTAACCAGAGCTCCCTCCCAAGGCAGCTTTTGAGAACTCAGAGACGTATTCCAGCCCTGGTCTTTGTACTCTGGCCATTCTCACCCAGAAGGGTCAGCTTCTCCCCAGGCTCCTTCTTAATTCCATCGAGTTATGTGTGTGGTGGATGGCGGGAGCAAATGTGGTAGCGGGGGTGTGTCCTTAATCTGGACAGGCTGAGCTCCGAAAAAGGCGCAATGTGTCCAGATTCCCGTCTCCGTCCCCCAACCTGCTGATCTTTAGGAATGGAGTCAGAAAGGGGAAAATAATTATGTATATACAATTATATATGTGTGTGTGTGTATATATATATGTATATGATTATATATATGTTTATGTTTCCTCTTTGTTCCATGAAATGTAATTTTTATTTTTTTCTAGACGTGGGGACGTTTGCTTCTCCTGTGAAAGAGTGAAAAATCAGGTCGGACTGAAAAAAGATAAAGCGGCCCTGCCATTAATCTGGATGGGAGAGGATAGACAGATAAAGCAAGCTGCAGAGTTAATAGAAAACATTATTTCTGCCCAGGTCATGCAGCAGTTGTAAAATGCCATAAAGACTCCCTTTTTGAGAGCTTATAGCTTTCTTACCAGTGTTGCCCCAGACCTGCCTTGCTGATTTTATTTTGTCACTGGGGATACCCAGTTACTAAATTACCCTCACTTCACTTTCTAGCACTTAATCTCCAGTTAATCCCTGCCGCTCCTATTCTCACCTCAGAAACAGCAGTCACTGAAGTATGGTTCCCCACTTCTTCAGAATCCTTCAGCTGGAATTCAGCTCTTTACAAAAGAGCTTTTCTTATCCCTCTCCTCCATCACATTCCAGCCATTCCTGTAGAATTTCCTCCCTGTCTTGAGTCAATAAATCTTATTTTGTTGGACTGTACAGGATTGTTACAGGTAGTCTTTAGTTGGTTAGGCTTTAACACCGGAATATCCTATCCATTGGCATGGTACTTTGTTCTTCCTTCCCAGTGAATGGTGGAGAGGATGAGGGTAGAGTCCCCCCCACCTCCACCAAGGGTATCCTCTCCTCTCCAGTGGCTATTCAGATGAACATTTGGCAGTCATTTAATTCCACCTGTGAGCTGCTGTTTTCTAATAATTTGAATGGTCTGCAGGTAAACCTCATGCAGGGAGGCTAACTGTAGAGCTTTATTTTAGGCTGTGATTTATTATGATTTATTTATTACAGTTTAGTTGGAATCATACACTAGGTGTTTTGATCTTTTCCACTGCCCTGAGGTCAAAAGCAGGGAAAGATAGGAGATGGTTTGATTGGTGACAGGGTCTTATGCTTTTGAAGCTTTTAGGAGTGGTAAGGTGATAGATTTTTAACAGAGAACTCTGTGTTAACAAGACAAGGGGTTACTAGTGGGAGGGAAGGGAAACATCAGTAGAAATTTGAAAATTGGTTTGAGGTTTTTGACGGCATGAGTTTGTTTCAGGCCACATATTTATGTGGTCTTATGACAGGCAGTTTAGTATAGTTGCAATATGGGTTATGGAGCCAAATTATCAGGGTGCTAATCCTAATCCTTCACCCTTAGAGCTGGGTGAAGTTGGGGCAATTTATTTCATCTCTTTGTGCCACAGTTCCTTCATCTGTAAAAGGAGGATAATAATAGAACCTACTGTGTAGGGTTGCTAAGAATAGGTGAATAATATATGTAAGGTCCTCAGATAATGCTTGATACATAAGTGCTCAGTAGATTTAGTTGATATTATTAAAGTGTGATCCATGTTTTTCCTCATCACCCAGATCCAAAAATTATGAGGATTTTGCCATGTATGCTTCATCCATCCACATACCCTCCCTTTGTAAATTGTTGTTAAACAAGAGGAATTGCCTATCAGTCTGAAGCTCTGAAATTTATTAGCATTCTCAGGAAGAGTGGGGCTGAGAAGCTCAAACTTTTTGTGGAAGAAAAAAGAAAGCTCAGAAGAGAATTTTCTTTAATAACTGTGGGAAGAAGTATGTAGTATTCTTCATCTTCAGTGATATAGCTGATGTTTATTAAATGTTTATTTGCTACTTTAGTGTGTTATTATATGTAGTGTCTTATTTAATACTCATAACAATGCTTTGGGATAGAATCTATAGTTATCACCATTTTATATGGGAGGAATCTAAGGCTGAAAAGTTAGGTAACATATCCAAGGTAACACACTTAATAACTGTCAGAGCTGAGATTTATATCTTGGAAGTTTGACAGAAAAGCCTATGTTAGTAATTACAACAGTATACCAAATCTCATCATCACATCTACTTGAACAAATCCTTCCCACCTTACTCAGTAATCCATCATGAGGGGGGTGATATTAAGCTGATGACAGCAAGCACTGTCAAGTTATGTCCAGATTATAGCTGTGAGGTCTCTGTAAAAGGAGAATTTCATACAGTAAGATTTATGCCTTACAATTTTTATTTTAATGATGTTACATGCAAGGTTAGAAAAATAGGACAAGAAGATCTAATAGCAGTTGGAGGGCTTCATAGGCATCTTAGCCCAAAGGATTAGTTCAGAAGCAAAAGAAACCCATTTGTCAGGACGCTGTGAAAGGAAGCAGCCATGAGACTGCCATCAGTGCCTAAAAGATATCAGAGACTTTGTCATCCTTTTCTAGGTAGTACTCTAACATATGGGTAAATTAAATCATGGAGTTGGTTCATGATTAAATCATGAATTAGACGCTGAAGTAAAGAAGAAAAGCCACTCAGGAAAAACAACAGCTTTTTTTAGAGTATCCTGAACTTTTTTCTTCAACAGAAGACTGGAAGAAAACTTGAATTGGGAAAGTCTTTCCCTTCTTTGGAGTATTTGCATACTTTAGGGTCACACTGTGTTTAATATGGTGGTAGTGTTGTGAGCTACCACTGTAAACATTTTAACTGGTCCTTCTAGGCACATGTGATTTTTTTTTTCTGTCAAAATAGTTTAAGGCCACACATGCTGGGATTTTTTGTATTTAACATATTGGCTTTACCCATTTCATCAAAGTTAGGGCAACATCATCACTTTTTACTCTTTGCATGGTTTTCAGTGGTATAGATGCACTACAGTTTTTTTGTGTTTTTTTTTTTAATTTATTTTTTAATTTTTGCTGTGTTGGCTCTTCGGTTCTGTGCAAGGGCTTTCTCTAGTTGCGGCAAGTGGGGGCCACTCTTCATCGCGGTGAGCGGGCCTCTCACTGTCGTGGCCTCTCCTGTTGCGGAGCACAGGCTCCAGACGCGCAGCCTCAGTAGTTGTGGCTCATGGGCCAGTTGCTCCGCGGCATGTGGGATCCTCCCAGACCAGGGCTCAAACCCGTGTCCCCTGCATTGGCAGGCAGACTCTCAACCACTGCACCACCAGGTTAGCCCCCTGGCAGGAGTTCTTTAGACCCAACCAAGTTGTCATTTACTTGCCACGCAGTCTTAATTTGGATGTTTGGTGGTCGTCTGGGTGGATCTTTTCAAGTCCAAAGAGATAGAGCAATAGGAGAATGAGAAAGACTGAGGGGGAAAGCCTTGGCCTCAGTGCGCTTCTTCACGGCCAGAGAACTGGTCTCTGCCAGATCCTGCAGGCGACGTCAGCTGTCACTTAACGGGCTACTCGAATCTACATGGCTCAGGATAAGTCCCAGCCACCCTTCAGAGGGGAGCCATAGCCCAATAGGTGGATCGAGATTATGGCCTTTGAGGCCCCGCATTGGGTGCCAGAAAAGATGTTGCAGGAAAGAGAGTGGGCTGCGAGAGGATGGTCACATCCCAAGTCATGTCTGAGTCCCTGGGATGGCCGCCAAGTGTGTGTTCTTGGCTTTGTGCAGGCAAGAATTCAAGAGCAAGACATAGTAAAGTGAAAGAAGGTTTATTCAGGGAGATACACACTTCATAGACAGAGTGTGGGCCATCTTGGAAGGCAAGAGGCCGCACTACAGTTTATTTAATCATTCCCCAGTTTAATTTTCAGCTTTTATTCATTATAAACCAAATCTGTTCACATATCTCTGCAAACATCTCTATGTACATGTGCAAATAGTTCCTTTAGTCCCAGAAGTGGAGTTTCTGGTTTACAGCATTATGGGGTTTAAATGCTGTTTCACACAGTTCTAAATTTGGACCAAACTAGTGTGCTGTGACCTTGCTAATATCATCAGTCTTTAGATCTTTTAGATCTCCCAATCCAGTCGCTGTAAAGAGGTATTTTTTGGTTGCTTTAACACATTTCGTTAATTAGTAGTGAGGTCTAGTATCTTTTGAAAGGTTATTTCTATTTTTTAGTGAATTGCCCTTGCTCAGGTTTCTCTCAGTGAAGTAGAAATTCTGCCCTTCAGAGGCAAAAACCAAAGTTGAAAGATGGCTTTTTAGTTAGAGAAATGTGGACTCAAAACAAAGCTCTGCCACTTAATAACTGAATCTGGGCAAATGATCTGACCCCTGAGCATCAGTTTTCTGAACTATGGAAAGGAGAGAGGAACTACTTTGCAGAACAATGCTGAGTGATGTACCTAAAGCAGCCATCACATGAAATTTCTCAATGAATGTTTGTTGTTGACTAACTGCAACAATCATGAATCCTCTACTGAAAGAGGGGGTGGAAAAGGACGTCATGGTATGAGAGGTTCTGATTGGGAAACAGAGTAGTGAGTTGTCCGGGCTGGGGAAAGACCAGTGCAGCTTTATGGTGTCAGGAGCTGCCAGGCCCAATCTGTGTGGTTTTCAGTCTTTGTGTTTAGGAGGTTCAGGCAGGATCCTGGGGCTCATAGGAGGCTCTGTGTGGATGGTGTGGCCCTTTCTCAGCCCTGAAAAAATTGTACTGGAAAGGGGAGATGCTGCTCAGAACAAGTCTGAGGAATCCAGTGTCAGGACCAGATCCACACTGCCAGATGGGGAACTGGATAGAAATCCTCCCGCTAAAGTATCTGGGCTCTGCACAAAGATCATCATTGTTTAGCTGAGTTTTGTCAGGGCTTGGATTTCTTCAGACTCCCTATACTCTCCTCCAGTGGGGTATGAGAGCAATGTGGGTATAGCGGTGAGGAGTAGTTTGGAAGCAGGAATGGAAGAGAAAAAAAGCTCATACTAACATAAGTCATTTTGGGAGCTCTGAGGCACATCTGGTTTCATGGCTGCTTTTTCTTCTTCCAGATCTGGCTTATCTGGACTCTAGTTCTCCAACAGAGAAATCTTGAAAAGGACTGACCGGTTCTTGCAGTTGGAAACAATGGCCCATGTAAGTTGGTGTTTCTTCATTTTTGAAATATTGCCAATTTCTAGGCCATGTTTCAGGATAAGGAATGATTATTCCTTATCCTGAAACTTCCTATTTAACAGAACTCCATCCAAGAACCCACTCTAGTTCCTCTCATTCCTGTGAGAGTTGGGGACAAATAGCCCAGTGTCCCCTATGTGCCCCCTTCCCTTTTTTCCACTAATGTGGACCATCTCCTATCTACAGAATCTTCTGTCAAGAGCCATCAAGGAGCAAAAGTGAAATGCCTTGAGAAGAATGTGGGTATTCTCTGCAGAATGTCCCCCCGTTAACATTTTTGATTTTAGCTTTTGATTTTAATACCTAAACTTCAGAGAAAGCATATTTCTCTGAATTACAGTGATTTTGGGTCTACTTTTATATGGGAAAAATTTACATCCCCAATACACAATTTGACATCTTTTAAAAGTTTTTTTAACTTTGTATTGCTATATAACGTACATAGAGAATAGTACACAAATCAGAAGTGTGCAGCTGAATGAATTTTCATAAATTGAGTATATCTATGCTATCAGCACTCAGGTCAAGAAAGAGAATATTACTAGCATTCACATGTCCCCCTTTCAGTCACTTTCCCAGTCCAAATGTAATTCTGACTTTGAACACCATACAATAATGTTGCCTATTTTTTAGAACTTTATGTAAGTGAAATTGTATAGTTCAATGTAACTTTTTTTTAAACCAAAAACAATGTGTAGGAAGTCTTGTTATATTCCAAATACAATTGCTGGATCATCAGAACCATGTGCAGATGTTTTGAAATGCATGCAGATATCATTAAAGGGGATGTGTATAAGTGGTACTGCTGGTGATAAGGGAGGCCTCAGAGCATCATACAGAGTGTGAGCCAGGCCTGCCATTATGTTCTCCTTGGAAGCGCATTTGCAAAGTGCACTTCACATGTAGCCCCTGTTTTTGTCATTTTGTAAAATGAGTTCCTAAGAAGTTGGAAAAGTATTGAAGAAACACGTAGAGAAAGAAGCAAAGCAAGTGAGAAAAAAAATTTTGGTAAAAGAGAGAGTGAAAGTACTAAAGTCAGAGATATCATGTGTGCACTGACCCATGTGTACTCTAATTCTGTCCTGGGGGAAATGTGAAGCTAGTTGGAGAGTTGGAATTGATATATAATGCAGTATAATTCTTTGCTTTAAAATGATGGGAAAATAGGCACCCACCCAAAATGGTGGGAAAATAATGTTAGAATGTCTTGATTTTCAGGAATGGATTATTAATATTAAATGGGATATCCCTGTTTTGAACACTCCTTGATGACCTTGTGGTTTGATGAAAGAGAGAATTTGGTCTTATTTGACTGCTTATACGGAAAACTCCAAACTTCTCCACAGACCTGAATTTTTTAAGTACATAAGATGAGATTTAGTATTGGCTGGTCTTAGTCCTTGTATGCATTGAGATCTTATGGTATGTAAGGCTTTTAGGATTGGGTGGATTAGGTAGGGATATGATTGCGGCCTTGTATTGTGAGGGCTAAAAGTTCATATGCTGCCTTGATATCTTATCAGACCTAACCAAGATTTCCCTGCTCTCCCCAGATGTGGCCCCCATGCAATGGAAAAGACTCTTAACCTGGCTAGTTTCCCTATCAGCTAGACCAGCTAAACCCCTCTTAGTCCTCAACCTAATAGGTTTCACCTCCTTGCCAGCCCACAGAATTATTCAAACAAACTCATCACATCCTCCTGCATTGGCCAGGGACCCCTCATCCTCTTTTTACTATAAAGCCTGCCTCCCACAGATCCTGCATTTTCACCCTATTCCTGAGTGCAACCCCTGTGTGGCCCTGCATGACGTGTGGTGTCTTCCTCTCCCGGGCTGTGAGTATATGTGACTAATAACCTGCTGTCAGTCTCATCTGTCAGGTGTCGGATATTCAGTCATCTCATACCATTTAGGGTGAGGGATCCCTCCTTCAGCAATGGGGTGAGTAGGAGGTGATTGGAACAGAACTGCAAACAGAGAGGAAGAATGCGTCTCTCCACTGAGAGAAGGATACTAGGAGCAGAGTCCATCGTGTAGTTTTACAGGATGCGCTGGTTTAGAGCAGGGTTTCTCAACCTTGGAACTACACTTGACCTTTGAACAACGCAGGGATTAGGGACGCTGATCCTTTGTGCAGTTGAAAATCTGGCCCTCTGTATATGCCATTCCTCCATATCTGGAATTCCTCATTATATGCAGTTCTGCATCCACAGATTCAACCAACCAAGAATTGCATAATACTGTAGTATTTACTATTGAAAAAAATATACGTATAACTGGTACCACGCAGTTCAAATCTGTGTTGTTCAAGTTTCAACTGTATTAATATTTTGAGCCAGAGAATATTTTATTGTGGGGGATTGTCCTCTGCATTGTAGGATGTTTAACAGTATCCCTGGCCTCTACCAGTTAGACACTTCTAACACTCACACCCCTTCACCCTAGTTGTGCCTATCAAAATTGTCTCCAGACATGGCCAGATGTCTTCTGGGAAGTAAAATCACTCCTCATTGAAAACCACTGGTCCAGGGTGATACCTTTACCATTCGGTATCCTCTAACTCAGGAATGAGGAAAGATGTTCAGTGAGGGATGATGGATGATAAATAGTAAGAAGATCATCCAGATGCATAAGTAATAGATAAAGTAGAATGTGAGAGTTGAGGAAGATTTTTGAGACTGTATTGAATCCAGACATCTAAAGAGAGAGGAAAAAAAGATTGGATTTAATACATTTGAAATGTGGACTGCCATGTAGCAAATTTTTAAAAATTTACTAAAGAATTGGTCATAACAGGGAAGATGCTTATAATAAAATGTGACTTTATGGTGAACTTGAGTCTATTTTCTTAGAGATTTCATAGTACATTTCATTTTTATCAATGTTTTTTCATGATCAGTAAAGGGGAAAGAAGGTAGAAGACCTCATATTTCTTAAGAATTTGTGGTGGAGATACAGTTTGCAGAGGGTTTGTGTGCACAGTTTCATTTAATTGGAACTTCTTTTGGTTATTTTATTCCTTTCCAGGTATTTTTGGGTAAAAATTTAATCTTATCTGCACTCACAGGACTGTTCAAGACATGTAGCACTATGCTTCAGTGATACTAATTTTCTTACTGTCCTTACACATGTCATAAATTTGCTTGCTGTGTGCTCCCTCCCTCTCTGCAATGCAATCATTGATCTCTCTTTCCATTTAAAAAATATTTCATTTATTTTCACAAGTTATCCATGAGTTTTATTTTTTCAGGGTTCAGTGACATTCAGAGATGTGGCCATAGACTTCTCACAGGAAGAATGGGAATTCCTGGACTCAGCTCAGAGGGACTTATATAGAGATGTCATGTGGGAGAATTATAGCAACTTCATCTCACTAGGTAAGGCTATTTATCCCCAATTATACTGGCTTTCTCTTCTGTCAATATTGGGACTATGTTTTGAGAAACTAGATAAAATTTTTCTCTCTGTTCCAAAGGAATGGTCCAAGCTTTGTTAGGTTGGAAGTAGGCCGCTCCTTTTAACACTTCATCACTCTCAGGTTCAGCAGGCTAGGTCCTTCAGACTTTCTTCAGGCTCTGTTGTTTCCATGTTTCCTTAGTATTCAAGGGGCTGGGTTTGAATTCTGGGTTTTTTACGACAGACGCATTCTCCAAGAAACCAGGCTCGGAATTGATGTAGATGCTTAACCCTCCTTTATAATCCACCTGCAAAGAGAATACCTAGACTCAGGGATTCTGAGTCTCTTTAAAAATCAGAGGAGCCTGTAGAACTTACATAGTATGAGGTGGATCCACAAAGTTCATCTAAAACTCAAGTAAGTGCATTCTGTTTCCTATAACAGACATATTCAGTTCTACTTGCTTTGTGGTAGAAAGTTAAAGTCTAAGAACTTTGCATTCAACATTAAATGAATATCTTAGTAAGAATCTGAGGATGTCTGAGGAAGCTTCTTATTCTCTCAGCAAATTGATAACAATAAAAGTTAATAGCTAGTATACACACATGTGTATATATACATATAACTGCATATACTTACGTACTATTCTGAGCATTGTACGTTATTAATTAATCCTCACAAAAACTCTATGAGAAATATGCTATTATTATCCTTATTTCAGGTGAGAAAATTTAGGCATAAAATGTTAATAATTTGCAGAGGTAACATAGCAACAAAGGCAGGATATGAACCCATGCAGTCTGGATCCATATTCTGTGTTTTCAACTATTACAAAAGACTGCCTCTCAACAGAGCTTGTATGAGGTATGAGTTTAAATTGTTTTAAGGCCTCTTCTTGCCCATCTGGTGTCTATTCCTTGTGGTCCTGAGGTTACCCTAGTATGAGTGTTCTTCAACTCCCTAGCATTTCTTTGCTCTTAGGCTTTATAAAGTACCATTTTGATCTATCGTTTATTATAAATTTAACCAAATCTGAACCTAAGGACTTTGGGGCTTGTAATTTCATGTCACATTATCTTTTAAGCAGGACCTTCCATTTCTAAACCAGATGTGATTACCTTATTGGATGAAGGGAAGGAGCCCTGGATGGTTGTAAGGGAAGGGACAAGAAGACATCACCCTGGTGAGTGAGGGCTTAGCAGGCATGGGGAAGTCATTACTGTAGGTAATAGCCAAGTATGTTAGGGTAGAGACATACCCTCGAGATGTTACACATCTCTCTTCAAAAGCCCATAGCCTGTGGAGAAAAGGCCTGAGACCTAGGAAGCAAATTAAAATCTTTAACCTTTGGGCTAGCAAAGGAACTTCCTACTGGCCTCGATTACAACTCTCTGTTTCTTGTCTCATGTTTCTCTCCCACTTGAAAGAGAGAAACTGTTCTCAGTAGAAGGAAAAAAATGATAATAAATATGAGTTAAAACCAACAAAATAGAAAAAGAAAAAAAGTGAAAATTAATAAAGCTTAGAGTTGATTTCTTGAAAAGATCAACAAAATTGATAAACACCAGCTTGATTAATCAAGAAAGAAAGAGAGACAATATAAATTACTAACACCAGGAATGAAAGAGAGGTTTTCACTTCAAATTTTTACAACCATTAAAAAAATAAGAGAGGCTTCCCTGGTGGCACAGTGGTTGAGAGTCTGCCTGCCAATGCAGGGGACACAGGTTCGTGCCCCGGTCCTGGAAGATCCCACATGCCGCGGAGCTGCTGGGCCTGTGAGCCATGGCCGCTGAGCCTGCGCATCCGGACCCTGTGCTCTGCAATGGGAGAGACCACAACAGTGAGAGGCCCGCGTACCGCAAAAAAAAAAAAAAAAAAAAGAGAGCATACCATGAATAACTTTATGTCAGTAAATTTGACAACTTCAATGAAATGGAAAAATTCCTTGAAAAATATAGCTTACCAGACCTGACACAAGAGAAAAAAGAAAATATGAATAACTTCATATTTGCTAAAATAATTGAATCCATTATCAGAAGTCTTTCCAGAAAGAAAATGCTAGGCTCAGATGGTTTCACTGGTGAATTCTATTAAATATTTAAGGAAGAAATATTACAGTATTACACAAATTCCTTCAGAAAAAGAAAGAACTCCTTCCAATTCATTTTATGAGACTACTATAACTCTTTTACTAAGTTCATGAAGGATATAAGTCTATAATTTTTTTCCCTTTGGTAATTTCTATCCTTTGTGAATGTAGATGTAAAATACTTAAAAAATATCAGGAAATTAAATCCAGCAATATATAAAAATGATGACCAAGTAGGGTTTATCCCAGGAAAACCCTATCTTGGTTTAACATTAAAAAATTAATCAGTGTAATTTAACATATTAACAGAAATGTGAGAAACCATGTGATCATCTCCATAGATGTAAAAATAGCATATGACAAAATTCAACATCCACTCATAATAAAAATTCTCAGGAAACTAGAAACTGAGGGGAGCTTCCTCAATCTGATAAGGGACATCTGCTGAAAAAATACTACATCATAAACTTCATCATACTTGATTGAAGAGTTTCCCCCAAGATTGTGAGCAAGGCAAGGATGCCCAGTCTCCCGAATTCTACTTAACATTGTATTGAAGGTTCTAGCATTGCAATAAGGCAAGAAAAAGAGATAAGAGATATTGTAAAGATCAGAAAGGAAGAAGTAAAACTATTTGGAGATGGCATAATTATATACTTAGAAAATTGTAAGGAATCAAAATAACAGCTACTCAAAGCAATACTTGAAGATCACAGTAAGATCACAGGATACAAGGTTGAGCTACAAAAATCAATTGTGTTATTATAAACTAAGAGTGAAAAAAATTAGAAAATTAAAGTCAATTAAGAAAAATTAAAGTCAATTAAGTCAATTTACAGTGTCAAAAAAACAAAATACTAAGGAATAAATTTGACAAAATGTGTAAAACCTCTATAATAAAAATGATGGAACATTGCTAAGAGAAATAAAAGAAGACCTAATGAATAGAAAGATACCATTTTTGGGATGGGGACTCGGTATTGTAAAAATGTCCATTGTATAGATTCAACACAATTCCAGTCATAATCCTAGGAACGTTTTTTTTTTTGTAGACATTAACAAGCTGATTCTAAAATTTATATGGAAAAGCAGTGGACTTAGCATGTCTAAAACAATCTTGAAAAAGGAAGAGCATATTATTATAGAACTTAGACTACATGACTTCTAGATACTTCAAGATATATTATAAAACTCTAATAATCAAGACATTATGGTGTTGGCTAAGGATCAACAAACAGAACAGAGACCCTAGATGTAAACCTCACATGTGCTTAAAGGGTCATTTATTTATTGACAAAGGCATCAAAGCATTCTAGTGGAAAAAGGAAAGTCTTTTCAACAACTGATGCTGGAATAGCTGGAAAAAAATCTTGAACTCTGTCTCATTCCAAAATTAATTTGAGATGTATTTTAAACATAAATATAAAAACTAAACATTAAAAAATCTTAAAAGCCAAATATAAAAGCTAAGTATAAAAAATAAAATGAAAATTTAAGAACTAAGTATACATTTTATATATAAGAAATATAAAGTTTTAGAGCAAAACATAGGGGAATGACTTGGTAGTAGGCAAAGGTTTCTTAGGAGAAAGCAATAACCATAAAAATTAAAAACTGATGTCACAATTTATCCAAATTAAAAACTTTGTCTCATCAAAATATACTAATAAAAAAATGAATAGTTGAGTCAGAGACTGAGAGAAAATGGTAGTAAAACAAAGGACCAGGGCTTCCCTGGTGGCGCAGTGGTTGAGAGTCCGCCTGCCGATGCAGGGGACCCGGGTTCGTGCCCCGGTCTGGGAAGATCCCAACATGCCGCAGAGCGGCTGGGCCCATGAGCCATGGCCGCTGAGCCTGCGCGTCCGGAGCCTGGGCTCCACAATGGGAGAGGCCACAAAAGTGAGAAGCCCGCATACCGCAAAAAACAAACAAACAAAAAAAAAAACAAAGGACCAGTATCCAGCCTCTACACTACAACTCAACAGTATAATGACGAACAACCCAATTAAAAAATGGGTAAAAGGTACATCCATACCATGGAATATAATACTCACCAACAAAAAGGAATACATTATTAATACACACAACGACTTGGATGAACCTCAAGGAAATTATGCTGAGTGAGAAAAACCAATCACAAAAGGTTATATACTGTATGACTCTAATTGTCTAATATTTATGAAATAATAAAATTATAGAGATGGGAAATGGATTAGTGGTTGCCAGGGGTTAGGAACATAGGGAGGGGAGGAGATGGTTGGGCTATAAAGGAATAACACAAGGGAGTCTTGTGGTTATGATATAGTTGAGTATGTTCATTGTGGTAGTGGTTATGTAAGGCTATACATGTGATAAAATTGCATAGAACTATATACATACACATACGTGATGGCATGTATAACTGGTGAAATCTAAGTAAGCCCTATGGATTATACCAAGGGTAATTTCTTGGTTTGAATATTGTACTATAGTTTGTAAGATGTTAACATTGACAGGGGCTGGGTGAAGCCTGCATGAGACTTTCCTGTACATTTCTTTGCAACCTCCTGTGAATCTACAGTTATTTCAAAATAAAAAGTAAATAAAAATGTCCTGTTGGGGGTGATAGGTAAAAGGTTTGACAAAGAGAGGAGCTACTCTTTTTTCTTGATCAATGACTACAATTCATCTATATCTAAATCTGTATTAGGCAGCTCAGGCTGCCATAACAAAATACCATGGACTGAGTGACTTAGACAACAGAAATGTATTTTCTCCTAATTCTGGTCGCTAGAAGTCTGAGATTAGCATTTTGGGGCCTGATGAGGGCTCTCTTCCTGGCTTGCAGATGGCCCTGTTCTCACACTGTCCTCACATGGTGAAGAGAGAGAGCACAATCTCTCTCTTCCTCCTGTAAGACCACCAGTCCTATCCTATCCTATTCTACCCACCAGTCCTGTGAATTAGGACTCCACCCTTATTACTTCACTTAACCTTAATTACCTCCTAAAAGCACTTTCTCCAAATACATTCACATTGGGTGTCAGGGCTTAAATGTATAATTTTGGAGGGACACAATTTGGTCCATAGCAATATCTATATGGGATCCAGTTTCTTTCCAGTCTAACTAATATATATATATTTGCTTGCCTAAAAATATGTTCGTTCATTTATTCGGCAAATACTTGTGTGCCCAGTCTGAACCAAGCACTGTCCTAGACACCAGTAGGACATTTGTGAGCAAGAGTGGTAGTTCCCAGCAGTCTTGCTGTTTACATTTTAATAGGAGAAAGGACATTAACTAAACAAGTAAATGAATAAACAATATTATATACTGACAAGTGTTATTAAGAAAAGTGAGAAGAAGAGGAATAGAAATTGGCAGGTGTAAACAGGTTTGTTTTAGGGTGGTTGGGGCTTTTTGAGGAGGTGATATTCGAGTGGAAACATGAAAAAAGAGCTCAAACCATATGAGTATCTAAAGCAAGAAGCAAGAGCAGTCCTAATGGAACAGTAAATGCAGAGGTCTTGGTTCGGAGGAAAAAAGGCTTTGATGTTTGAGGAACAGCAAGAAGACCAGGATGATTACTCAAAAGGTAAGTGAAAAAAGTAGAGTAACAAGATGAAGTCAGAAAGTTAGGCAAGGGCTAAATCTTGTAAACGTTTGTATGTCATAGGGGAAGGCATGTGACTTTATTTTTATTTTTTGCCCTGTTGCACCGCTTGCCAGATCTCAGTTCCCCAACCGGGGATTGAACCCGGGCCACAGCAGTGAAAGCCTGAAATCCTAACCCCTAGCCCACCAGGGAACTCCTGGCATGTGATTTTTAAGTGTGATAGAAAGGCATTGGAGGTTTCTGAGCAGGGGAATGACATGAGCTGATTTATTTTATAATTATCACTCTATGGAGAATAGATCGAATGGGGGCAAGATGGTTAGTAGGAAGACCAATTAGGAGGCTATTTCATTTGTCCCAGTGGAATATGGTATTGGTTTTTAATTAATTAATTAATTTATATTTATGGCTGCATTGGGTCTTTGTTGTTGCATGTGGGCTTTCTCTAGTTGCAGCGAGTGGGGGCTACTCCTTGTTGCGGTGCACAGGCTTCTC